TGCGCGCGCGCGCAGCAGCGCGCGAAATCGACCAATATCGGGTCCCAATTCTTAGCTCCGATTTGGGGGTATTTCTCATGCAACGCATCACACCTCAGCAAAACACAATGAATGCGGAAGTAACTATGCCACTGCAGGGCAAAAAAATTGGGGGGTCTATGATCTAATTAAGACATGAAATTAGTGAAAAATATTGTGCCAGGAATGCCAGCAGGACAAGGGTTAAGACTTGTACATTATTGAGACATGTACAACATATGGGTTACATAATTGAAGTCCATTTGATAACTATATAGCCATACAGAGCCTATATAAATATATTCATCACACAAGTAAACAAACAATAAACTATTGAGCATGGCATCTACATACAAAATTCTCCACACTCTCAAAAGTACTGGAAATTCCAGTTCTTATTGCCCTGAGAAAGAGATAATACTGTCATGAAAGAATGTAATCTTTAAAGTTTAAGGTCCATAAGTACAAACATCTGTAATTTTATTGGATAGTGCATAAAATATTTACCCATTACACTAAAGGGATATATATAAGAAGTTTTCTTCTTTTCAAATACAGTTTGTATCATCAAATCCTACATCCTACTTTTCCTAGAACCTATGTAGGAAATTGTTAGATTCTAAGACTAGCATTTGGATGGGGGATGCATAAAAAACACGAATTCTTAGAGTGAAACCCAGAAATCTACATCATTGTGCAAAATGTGTTGAAATTTCAGACAAAGTTCTGTCCTGAGAAAATAATATAATCCCGAGAGTTACTGAGAGACAATATCAGGTATATGGTCCACAAAGTCCATAGGTGGGAACACACTGTCCCAGTTGGGTTGTGCGGCTTCACCTGCAGCAGCTGCAACACCTGGAGCAGCACCTGTTGCCCCGACAGGTGCCCCAACAGGTGGGGGTGGGTCTGCATGCACGTGGGCACCTGCACAGGTGTCGACGTCAAAGTTCTTTTCCTCCTTGACCTTGGTCCTCTTGGCGTCTTCGATGGCCTTGATGAGATCGAAGGAGTAGTCTGTCTCCTCCACGTCCGGGTTGGTCTCCTGGATTCCTTTAAGTTCGTTTCTCAGCCTCTTAAGACGCAGGTAGAACTGCACCTGTGGGAAGGACAAGAACAGTTTTTGAAAGTCACTTTAAAGAACCCACCGCACTTATCGAAAAGAGTAGGGGACCTTCCCGGTGTGAGTGATTCAAACCTTACAATCCGGCCTTACGCAGCTTGTACATGTACGTACATATGTACAAAACTGGTGTGTTACGCCAAAGGCGGTTTACTGGTTGTGCGAAACAAACAAAGATAAAACATAGCCTCCATAGCAGGCTTATAGAACTGGGGGTTTGGTGGTCTTCGGCTGTTTTCTGATTAGCCCAGTTCTAAAAACAGGGGTAATTCAACCAGGCTGGCTATGTTGTCTATATGCAATCAGAAAATAGCACATAAAAGATCTCAAAGACACTGAAGACCCTCAAAACCCCCAGTTTTTGGCATGCTATGGAGGCAAGATAAACCAGTCCCACCTTGTCCTGTGCGCGTGGGAACTGTGCACACCTGGCACTGGAAGACGGCATCACAAATATCCTGGTTGTCGTTCCGGGTACCAGGTCCTCCTGCTGACCAAACTGGAAATCTTTCTTCAGCTTCCGTCCGAAGAACACCGTGGAGAAGGCGTCGTAGATGCTCTTTCCATTAAACGCAGCGATGCGGGGCTGGTATCTGTATCGTGCAATATTTGTTTATTTGTTTATTAGAATTCACGTATCCAAATAGCCAAATCTTATGTACAGAGTATATGTATGATGTAACAATAAAAGTTTAACTTAGGGTATAGAATTTTCTTACACAACCAGTAAGGTTCTCACCTCCAGTCAGAAGCTCTGAGGAAGGTGTCTGATAGACATCAAAACGTAAGCAGGTGAGAACCTTACTGGTTGTGTAAGAAGAAAATTCTATACCCTAAGTATCTTCCAACCTGATGAAATTATTTATGGGAATAAAGGTTTAACTATTCTCTAACATGTGATCTCTAAGATCGAAACATTCTTGAATGTATTTTCCTATTTGAACACTATTGGTTATCTCCCCTGAGAATGTAATGACATACCTCTGCAGCTTCCCGACAAGAATCTTTGCTCCCTCTCCCATCTCCTTCCGCGAGAGATCCTTACTTCCAGGTGTGGTCCGTTCCACCACGTTCGTAAATCCGATGCCATAGTTCACGAGTTTGAAGTCATCCATGGCCGTCATGGGTCGGTCGATGAGACGTGACATGTACAGGCACTTCCAGAAGTGGTTACCCGGGCCTGGGTAGTGGTGACCCACGTACGCTGCCATCAAACCTGGGTTTATACCTGCAACAATGGATATTGTTAGTATCATAACGTGGGTGTGTCGATGAGCCGTGACATGTACAGGCACTTCCAGAAGTGGTTACCCGGCCCGGGGTAATGGTGACCCACATACGCTGCCATCAAACCTGGGTTTATACCTGGAACAATAATAGTGTTTTATTGCAAATTCATGCCTGAGGGCTAATTGCAGGAACTGTGAGCAGAAACATTTGGTATAAAAAACAGATAATTAGTACACATAGAACTACTGATAACTACTAAGAAACTACTAGTAAAAACTACTGGGTTTGACTTCTTTTTGAAGATAGAGGAAGACAAAGGATCCCACTTTTTCTGTAATTTGTGGGTTTTTGGATGTTAAGAGGAGAGTAGTTTTCTTTTCATTTGTATATGTGAGAAAGTTTGGGTAGAATTTGGAGGCTACGTCAAAGAGTTCATTTCGTTCCTTGCTATAGAGGGTACAATTTGAGATCTGTAACAATGTATATTCTTAATAACAATGGCACTAGAAAGCATTGTATTCTCGCTGGTTCTAACCCCTCCCTCGAGTGTGGTTGGCCACCTGTTTGAACATGTGCAGGCACACGTGTGTGCCCAGGGATACCTAAAAAACAGATCAATGAATCTGAGGTATGCCCTGGTAAACTTGAAACTTGAGTATAGACATGTTTTTCCTACATACCGATGATCACGATGTCCAGATTGGGACAGAGGTGGTCTGGCAGTGTACGGAGTAAAAGTTCAGACTCAGGTGTGCCCTTGAAGCGGTCGACCTTGCGCTTCGGTTTCTTGTCCTTGTCGTCCTCGACCTTCTTGGCTTTCTTGACCTTCATGGTGTCGGTGATTTTCTCCTGCTTGGATTTTGGAGGTCGGCCTCGCTTCTTGGGGGCTGACTTGGCCGGTGTGGACTCCTTCCCGACATTCTGTGGCAGGGGCTTAAGGAACAAACCATGAGAATCTCGTATGGTTTCAATAGTAAATTTATTGTCAATACATGACTGAAGACTAATCGCAAATACATCTTATTAATATTATTATATTAAGTTATAGAATCTTATACAATTCATTAAGTTTATTGCAAATAGATGCCTGAGGCTAGTTGCGAGTACATCTTGGCTTGCAAGTTGATGGTAACTTGGAAATAATAAGGACCAACCCTTGAAGGCTTGATGAACTAAGTTTTTATTGAATGAATAGCCATATCAAAGTTTTCCAGGGCCAACATTATCCCAAGAAAGTCCTACTAGCATTCCATCATAACAATTTACATTTGTGTGAGTAAAACACAAACTCCTTGGGGTGGGAAGCTGTTCCTGAACTAGAGAGCTCAGCCCTTTTGTCTACTCAATCATGTGTTATAAATAATTAGCTGAAGGTGTTAATTGATATTCATGAGGCTTCACGCCCCACTACACACCCCTACAAAACATAATGCACACAGAAGACAATACTAGTAATTCCCTCTCTCCGACTTTTCAGAGTAAAGCAGTGAACATATCTGTGAGAAACAAAGTGAAACCATCCACACTCACTGCATTTTCAAGAAGAATTTGCTTGAATGTTTTAATACATCGTTAGATCAAACCTTTCTGTTGTTTTTGTGACTGAATTATGAAACTCGTGGCACACACGTTAATCTTTCTAACTCTACGTCATATCGTTAAATTCCCTGAGAAATTAGCCGAAGAGTAACAGTCGACCAAATTTCCTATTCATTCATTTAAACCCACCCGTTATGCATATATTAACTGGCTTTTAAATAGAACCCCGGCTTTTAAATATAAGAAATAGAAAACAACAAATACCTGTGCCGGAACACCGTTAGCTGCAGACACCCCACTTTCCGACATCCTCAGCCGATTTTTGATGCTTAAAAACTGACGATCAGCTGCGAAATAATCTCAAAACTGAGCAAAAACCGGCCGATCTGCTGTCTTTGTTTACTGTGCAGTTTTTTCTGCACAAAACCGGACGCAAATAAACCGATCTTTTACCGAATTTACGGCTAAAATTTCCGATCTATGAATATTTTCTTGATCACTGATACAGAGAGTATAATGTGCGTCCACAGAAATGTTGGATTTTGGGTGAAAATGTCCTAAAATGATGATTTTCTGACCAACACACGATGCAGACGACAGAAGATGGGGACGCTAAGGTCAGACGCGGGGCATGACGGGATAGCTCAGGGCAACGCCCTCGTGTAACCCAAACCTCAACTCCAAGCAGATGTGCAGAGCTGGGACACGTCTTCCACATACTTTCTTTTGTAAATAATACGTTTCACTGATTATTTCTTTAATCAAAGTGGGAAAAAAATGTCTTTATTTTTTTGCATGTATTGCCAGACCACCAGTAAAAGCATTAAAATAACATCCTACTTTATTCATAAGTAAACAATTGTCTTTATTTTCTTGCTTGTATAGCCAGACCACCAGTAAAAGCATTAAGGTAACATCCAACTTTATTCATATCATACCTGGGCCGCGATTACGTTCGATACGGGTGTTCTGGACTGGTTTCTCCAGTTATGCTGCTAACATACATACATACATACATACTCTCCAAGCAGAGGTTTGGGGGTATTTTTGCCGTGTTTTAGGCTTTTTTTATCGGGGTTTCTCTTTTGCACAGGGATTTTTTTTCACCCAACCCAGCACTCACCCCGAGTTGGGTGAAAAAAAAATTCCAGTGCAAAAGAGAAACCCCGATAAAAAAAGCCTAAAACACGCCAAAAATACCCCCAAACCTCTGCTTGGAGAGTAATACATACATACATACATACAGACCCAGAAACTCCACAATGGTCAAACCAAAAACATACCCTTCTGACAAAGGCAATAAACTACGTGAAATATTCCACACAGAAACATTATAGTTTCAACTGTTCAACTTAAATTTACTAACATTCATTTTACATTTTTACAAACCTACTACTAGATTCTCTTGTTTATGCAGTCATCAGTATATACATGGATACAGTGTATCTTTTTTTCTTGCATTGACTGTACGTGGCAACATTGTTACATGTAGCAACACTGACATACCAAACATGTTTGCAACAGCTTGCTACTTATGTTTTAACTATGTACACAATATCTATGATATCATTATAGATATAAATGATACAACTGTGATCAGCAAAACGCACAGATGTACATGTACTTTTAGAAAACACGTGAATATATTGAGTGTTTTAAGCCTTTTAAATCAAACTGCTGCTCCAAAAGACATTTCTTTAGCACTGTTTATTTTTTTAGGGTTTGATTTTTTTTCCTTCTTCTTCTCCAAGTCTAAGGCAAGACTAAGACAAAGTTGACTTGTTTTTCCATGTCTATTTTAGCTTTGTTGCTCTTGTGTTATATAATTACATGTATAGTTTACAAAAGTCTCAGATACACTGCGACTGACAAATCCATTGTACCTGCAATACTGCACATCAGTAAGGCAAGTACATGTAAGTAACAAAAACTATCTTTCATTCCTATCATCCTTGTCTCTAAGCCAAGACTAAGACAACTTTGTGAGATGAGAAAGTTCAAACTGTTCTCCAACTCAAAGAATTACCGAAAGTTTCAACCAATCACATGGTCTTCCTCAGCTTTCTGACCCAAATTTCAGTGACTTGGAGAACTGTTCAAACTTTCTAATAAATTAACTGCATTTTAGTATTTTGACAGCATTTTTACCAAATTGAATCTAGATGCCCCTTCATGCTACCAGCAAAACAGTGTTGTACATGTATATAGCCTTGAGTAGATGTTGTTCCTGGCTCTTAACTAGCTTAAGTAACTACTGGTCCTCCTGCAAAGACAGCACAAAGTCATCAAACTCATCCAGATTGTCCTCATATTTAGCCAGATCCTGTGAAAACGAGGCCAGGGTATCGGTTACGCACGGCTGCTTGGAGTCCGCGAAGGTGACGAGCTGCGGGGGATTCTGACACTCCTTATAGAACGTCCCAAGGTCACTGTTGGAGTCACATTTCCCGAACGCCGGTTTCTGAACCTCGACCACGACAAAGTCCTCGTGCGGGGAGGAGGAAAGCTGGCTTCCGTACGAACCGGTCGAGCCGGCTAAACCGTAGGACGTCATACGCAGGCAGTCTGATTGGTCGAACATTGCGCCGGTCTGTTCGGAAGCGGGGAAGGGGGATAGCGACGACGCTCGCTCGCGGGGTTCAGCTTTCTGCTGCGTCAGCAGCTCGAACGGGACGTTACAGACTTTCCCATCGTCGCCGCCGACAACGTCCTTCCCAAGGGCGAACGCCCCGACCTTGGGCGCTGCTGACAGGTTCACGTGTTCACCCTGTTCCCCGATGGCTGCTGTGGTGAACTGCTGCAAGTCATTCTGGGTAGCCGCGCGGGAGAAGGTCATCTGGTTGGGAGGTGAGACGGAGCAGCTGCCCACCCCTATTTCCTGCAATGGATCCTCCCAGTCTGCCGGAAGGTCGTCAGCGTAGATCTGGAACCGAGGCTCGCTCGGGTTTCTGCTGATGTACCTGCCAGAGGAAAGCAAGAAAGTAACTATAAAATTTTATATAAGTCTTAAAGAAGTGAAACCCTTCAGACATACTTTTAGACATAGTTATAGTTCTAGACAGCTACCTTTATCATGTAGATTTTAGTTGTTTTATACTCTGTTTCAATGTTCTTTTATGTTTTGTAATTTGCAATTAGCCTCTGGGCACGAATTTGCAATAAACTTTTCAATATAAGATTTTATAACAAAAACTCTCATTACACTCTGGACACTATCCTAAGAAACTTTGGACACAAGCGTAAGTGCATAAGATATCATTTTATCATAAAAAAGTTTGCATCTTTCAACTTAGAAGAGGTTTTTGAAGCTGATGCCATAGACACCCTCATGCCTCTTGTCCAACAGCACCAGAGAGGTGACAATGCTAAAGAAGTAGCCTCTACCAGGCTTCGAGAAAGAAGGAAGAAAGTGATGTATAAAATTTTATAACAACAAGACTGGCAATGAAAACATACACTGCCATGGCGAATGTGGTTGCTGTTAGGGTTATTGTTTGCATGGCACTGCTATCATTTCATGATTTTGAGGAAGACTTGGTGCCTGTTAAGTCTAGACAGATACAGTGCACTTCTCCCCTGAATGTATAGTGAACGAAGTTCTGATTGTGCAAAAGAAAATCCCTATAACTTGAGTAAAAGCTGTAAAACATGGGCAACAACAACATCTAGTCTCTACCAGACTAACTACGCTGGCTCTATATAGGAGAATATTTGCCAGGGGAGTTTGGCCGCCTTGTAGGTTTGACTGGCCGCGCAGGAGGGAAAGAAACTACCTCCCCGCGGCCGGACTCCCTTGGCCCATTTTAGTCTCTTTTTTGCCGAATTCTATGATCCGTATTCCCGTAGAAAGGCCTGGTGGAGGCAACAACAACATCCCATATACCGTGGACTGGGATTATTGGCAAGCCTTCTCATCCCTAAGATGGTATCAAGGTATCAAGGTATATACCGTGGAGGAGTGTTGGCCATGTAGTGGTCTGCCTTCATCTGTAGCCCTGCATACCCATCAGACGGGATGGTGAGTTTGGTCCGGTAGGCGGCTGACATGGTCAGGGTTCCAATCGGCGTGGGCACAGCTCCAACTCTCATCACCTGAGGAAACAAGAAAAAATAGAAGAAATATAAATCTACAGTGGGGGTCAATGGAAGACAGAAGAAAACGTCTGGACTAGTACTATGCATGATGTACAAAATGACTGATAAACTGGTGGACGTCCCAACTGCTAAGTACCTAATACCAGCTCAGAAAAGGACAAGAAATAGTCATGCCTTCAGAGTTGTAAATCGTAAGCTGGTGTGTTACACCAAAGGGCAGTTATAACGGCTATACAGATACAGAAGCTGGTGTGTTACGCCGAAGGGTGGTTATACGGGCTATACAGACACAGAAGCTGGTGTGTTACACCGAAGGGTGGTTATACCGACTATACACAAATCTGATACAGAAGCTGGTGTGTTACGCCGGAGGGCGGTTATACCGGCTATACAGATACAGAAGCTGGTGTGTTACACTGAAGGGCGGTTATACCGGCTATACAGATACAGAAGCTGGTGTGTTACGCCGAAGGGCGGTTATGCCAGCTATACAGATAGTCAGATACAGAAGCTGGTGTGTTACACCGAAGGGCGGTTATACCAGCTATACCGATACAGAAGCTGGTGTGTTACGCCGAAGGGCGGTTATACCGGCTATACAGATACAGAAGCTGGTGTGTTACAACAAAGGACAGTTATACCAGCTATAATAATGGAAACAGATACAAACCTGGAAACCCTCCCCAAGCCCCTCAAACTTGACGTCCCCAAAGTATATCCTGTACATGATGACGAAGTCTGTTCCCTGTTTGCGGGAGAGTCGGTACGCCGGGGTCACGCGCGTCAGCGTGAAGAGAGACCGCAGAAGGATGCCCATCCGGTTATACACCGTGTAGCTGACTTTGATGTCGGCTTCTGAACGATCGTTCATACCTGAAACACATAGAGGTTTTAGTAGCATCTAGAAACACTCTAGAGATACACTGTGTAGCTCACTTTGAATCTTCTTCTGAACGGCCATTCCTACCTGGAGAGGAAACAAATACTGAAATAGACTGATGTGTAAGGTTTTCTCTAACTTAGAGATGTTCCTTAGTTGTGCTGTAGATTCTACACCGTGTAGGTCACTTTGATGTCACACCTGGAACACATAGAGGTTTATAATTAGCATGTACATTTCCTACAACATACAAGTATAGCATACAGTGTACATACAGTTATCAGTTAGTCTCTATCAGACTAACTACGCTATTTGCCAGGGAAGTTTGACCGCCTTGTAGGTTTGACTGGCAGAGGGAAAGAAACTACCTCCCCGCGGCCGGACTCCCTTGGCCAATTTTACTCTCTTTTTTGCCGAATTCTATGATCCGTATCCCCGTAGAAAGGCCTGGTGGAGGCTATAATACAGTATTGATAACTGGATAAGTCACAACAACAACAACCTACCCAGGCACCATGTCTCCAGGATCATGGAGTCTCCCTCGGACGTTGTTAGTGAGATCTCCACACACAGTGACTGGCCCAGACTGGCAACATTAGCACATTACAACAACAACCTAACAACAACAACCTAACAATAACCTACGTACCCAGGCACCATGTCTCCAGGATCATGGAGTCTCCCTCGGAGGTTGTTAGTGAGATCTCCACACACAGAGACTGGCCCAGGCTGGGCAGCTGACCCGATATGGTTCGCTTGCCCTCTGCTAGGACCCGCGGTACGTCCGTGATGCCCAGGTTAAACCAGTCTGCACCGGTTGTGGACGGTTTGGACTTGGTACGAACCTTGTCACCCAGGCGAGACTGGACTATCACCTGCAGAAGGAAATATATGAAACATAATGTAAATGTAAATGTTTAAAATTATATTCCAACATTCCATGGCTAGAGACATGGTGAGGGCACACTCAAGTTTTTAACTTATTCTATGCCGCCACCAAAGCAGAGGACAAATACAGGATGGGATAGTACTAATTTTCCCTTGAGTTTAGTAAGGAAAGTCGTGCAAAGTATGAAACATCGTGCCAAGACATCCACAGATTCTTAAGTTATTGTGTTAACAAACCTACAAACTAACAAACAATTTCGCTGAGAAAACCAAAGCCACCTCGACAGAGGTAAAAATTCAACATTTATTATATTATCTGAAGGGTGAAATGAGGTATACGAAATATCACGTCATTCCATCCACAGATTCTTACGTTATGATCGAAAATTATCAAGCTAGACCACTTCGGCAAAGGTGAAAATTATTTTTCGGACAACAACAAAGCTATAATCACCTGAATGCTCTTTAGACATAAGAATTTGATGTATTTATCCAGGTCCTTTTTGTCCTGCGGACTCAGATTAACCTCTAAGTTCTCTGTCATGGTGATGACAACCGTACGGAGGCGGGAAACACTCAGAAAAACATCGGAGTTTTTAGACTTTTCGAAGGATCGCAGAAAGAAAATGGCGGATGGAAATAAGGAAGGAGACTTCTGCACATGCGCGGGAAAACAAGGCATGGGCGGTACCAATATGAGACAGGGGGGTAAAATAAAAAGGATTTCAAAACTGTATTCAAGAAGAAGAACGTTTTCTAACGTTAATGTAAACGAAATCTAAATGTTTAATAAAACATTTATGAATAAGGTAAAAAAAAAGTGTTTGCAACCCACTGTAGTTTTTGATGAGGAATCTTTTTGAACCTCCATGGAAATACAACTACAAAACTAGAGTTCCACGATTTCATACCTTTGCCAAGCCTTGCCTTTGCTAAATGATTTTAATCTTTCTGACTGACAAATTATAAATTATTCCCCCTGATTATGCAAATAGGATCCTCATATCCATGAATTATACCAGTTGATCATATTCTTCACAAATAGACAGTCTTATGTTAACAAAGAATGCCATTCTAGCATTTCCTCATAAATTATGCAAATGAGGCCTTTATTTGAATAAGGCCATGTTGATTTGATTATATGGATGACATCCGCGCGCGCATGAATTTTCGGCCGTTTCCAAAAAAAAAAAGTTTTCAACCATACTGTAAATCGTACAAAACAGTTGCAAAATGAGCAAAAATATACCGTAAGTTACAAAAAAATAAGTAAAAACTATACCAATGTCGTAGAATGCCAAAATCAAACGAAAAAAGACAAAATTGTAAGGAAATGAACTTGAAGATTAGATTATTCGCCAAACCATATTCTGTCCCATTTGTTCAACCCTCAAGACCACGTAGATTTCATAATGAAAACAACTTTTTTTTTTTTTTGCAAAACTTTTTTTTTATTCGCACGCTCGCATCTTTTTTGGGGCTCCCGGAGGATGTCATCCATATAATCAAATCAACGTAATATAGTACATGGCCTAAGTTATGTTTAATGATGTTCACCTAGCTTTCATATACCCTAAGTATGAAATCTCAGGTAGTTACCATTGCTGAATTACCAAATTTTCTCATCAATGATGCAAATCAAGTCTTAATTCACATAATCAGTAACAGTGTGCCCGCACCCGTTTACTCTATAGCGGACCAACTCCCCCGGCTCTCTCTATTTGGCCCGATTTCTACTCTTTCCAGCCGCCTCCCGAAGCCTGATAGAGGCTATCGCAGGCCGTCTTTAACATTTTGATGCTGTGACAGAACCTCTGTAACAAGCCGCATTGCACTCAAAGCAACTTCGCAGTAAATGTTACTGAAAACGCCGGTGTGGGACCTAAATCAACCTCCGGTATGATACCAGTTTCGAAAACTTTTTTTTAAAATATAATTCAAGAAATACGCCAATATTTCTAACCCTTGATAAATATATTCTCAAACGTGAGAAATTGTAATAAAATCCGAAAAACAGCAAAATTTGTTTGAAATTATTTTTTGTAATTTTCCACTGGCCGTATGACGTCATTTCCACAACCGCAGGATTTTTCAACACGTACGGGCAGACGAGGATTTGGACGCTCTGTTTTAAAATGTCTCAAAAACATTATTTTTGAGATTTTTGTGTGCATTTTTCGTCAGAATATGCAGTTAAGGTCTTGTTCAACTGGCAGGATGAAAAATTACGGGACATTTTACGGTAATTTACCGAAAAAGTCGACAAAATTGCAGGCAAGAACCGCGACAACTCTGCAGCCGAGTCGGGTTTGACGTGTGTGACGTAAGTAAGATTGTTGAGCAATTTTCTGTATTTCTGGGCGAAGTTTTTAGCGTAAAAGTACCTCTAATTTGTTCACAACAGATTTGGACAACTGTTTCGTTCCTTTATCCATAAATTCTGTGGTAATTTTCTGTCCTTTGGGGTATTTTTCATGGCAATTTCTGGGGAAAACTCGGCAGACTTTTTTTAAAAATGCCTGTTGCTGTTTTCATTTGACGCAGTTTGAGTTCCTCTCGTTTGACGATATGAATTTACCTCGAGTTTAGTTATTTTGCTCAGAGAAGTCGAGAATACATTCTTTAGTGCCTTAAGTAGTGAATACTGAGAAAATGGTACGTGATTTTGGTACTTTTTAAGCGATAATATGTGAAAAAATGGCATAGGTAGGGCGTCATAATGTTTAGCATATGAATCTCGGTGACCAGGTGTTGGTGGGTAAATTGGTTAACATGGCGGATGTGCAAATCCTTTATATTCAGGGATTTGGTGTATTTTCAAACTAGTATCAAGCTAGGAGGCAAACCTAAAATACTTCAAACAGCTTTATCTTAAGATGCTGTTCAGATTTCCTTTGTTTCGACAGGTTTTGAACAGCAAAATGACAGACATTTTTTAAGAAGATTCCCAGATGAGAGAATATTCAGCCCACTTTCTCCCAGCCTTACACTTGGTAGGCATGGCTATTTGTTATAGTAATGTTAACCATTTTGTCAGCCATTCTTATCCTTTGCCTTTACAAGTCAGTTAAATGTTTTCGTGCCACCATGTACACTAGCCTAGATGATCATTACATGGAAAGATATTGGTAATCCTGTTATCAAATGTCTCTTGTCTCAGATTGATGTGTTGAAATATCAATATAAAGTTGATATGTTGTAGGGATTTTTGTTACGAAAATGATGCAATGAATTCTTTCTCAGACCATGCTTTATACATGTTTTGCCACAGATTTCAAAACACTTAACACCATCAACACACAAACACACCTTTTCTTGGTGCTGAACACCATACACACACAAATATACCTGTCCTTGGTGCTGAACAATATTTAAACACAGGTAAACACACCTGTCCTTGGAGCTGAACATCATACACACCCAGCAAACATACCTGTCCTTGGTGCTGAACACCATCCACACACAGGCAAACACACCTGTCCTTGGTGCTGAACACCATCCACACACAGGCAAACACACCTGTCCTTGGTGCTGAACACCATCCACACACAAACATACTTTTCGTTGGTGCAAAACACCATCCACACATAGTTAAACACACCTGTCCTTGGTGCTGAACACCATAAACATACAAACACACCTGTCCTTGATTCTGAACACCATCCACACACAGGCTAACATGCCTGTCCTTTGTGCTGAACACTATCCACACACAGGTAAACATGCATGTCCTTGGTGCTGAACCCCATCCATACACATACATACCTGTCCTTGGTGCTGAACACCATCCACACACAGATAAACATACCTGTCCTTTGTGCTGAACACTATCCACACACAGGTAAACATGCCTGTCCTTGGTGCTGAATGCCATCCACACACGAACACACCTGTCCTTGGAGCTGAACACCATCCACACACAGATAAACGCCACCTCGTCCCTGGTGCTGAACACCACCACACACAACACACCTGTCCTTGGTACTGAACACCATCCACACACAGGTAACATGCCTGTCCTTGGTGCTGAATGCCATCCATACACAAACACACCTGTCCTTGGAGCTGAGCACCATCCACACACAAACATACCTGTCCTTGGTGCTGAACACTTTCCACACACAGGTAAACACACCTGTCCTTGGAGCTGAACACCATCGATATCCATACACAAACACACCTGTCCCTGGTGCTGAACACCATACACACACAAACACACCTGTCCTTGGTGCTGAACAACATACACACACAGGTAAACATGCCTATCCTTGGTGCTGAACAATATTTAAACACAGGTAAACACACCTGTCCTTGGTGCTGAACACCATCCACACACAAACATACTTTTCGTTGGTGTAAAACACCATCCACACACAGGTGAACACGCCTGTCCTTGGTGCTGAATGCCATCCATACACATACATACCTGTCCTTGGTTCTGATCACCATCCATACACATACATACCTGTCCTTTGTGCTGAACACTATCCACACACAGGTAAACATGCCTGTCCTTGGTGCTGAATGCCATCCACACACAAACACACCTGTCCTTGGAGCTGAACACCATCCACACACAGGTAAACATGCCTGTCCTTGGAGCTGAACACCATCCACACACAAACATACCTGTTCCTGGTGCTGAACGCCATCCATACACAGCTAAAGCCACCTGTCCCTGGTGCTGAACGCCATGTCCATACACATACATACCTGTCCTTGGTGCTGAACACTTTCCGCACACAGGTAAACACACCTGTCCTTGGTGCTGAACACTTTCCACACACAGGTAAACACACCTGTCCTTGGAGCTGAACACCATCGATATCCATACACATACACACCTGTCCCTGGTGCTGAACACCATCCACATACAAACATACAAATATCTTGAGGCATCATTTTGTAGACATCCATGCAAGTAGAATTGAAAACTCTGTTTCATTTTCTTCCTCCCAGACCAGTGAAGCCAGGTGGAGAGAAGACATACTGTCAACATATGTTAGGAGGTTTTCTAGACCATTTCTTACTCATTTAAGAAAATTATGTCAGCTTCCTTTTACCCGTAGCATATAAAGATTGTGTAAAAATTCATTGCTATAAATTCATTTCATCAAGTTTGATAAGATTGAGTTTGAAACGATTCTGTTCAATTTTTGGAACAATTTGTTTTTTTTCATACAATGGAAATAAATATTCATACATGTACTTGATTTTGCCATAGTCATAGCCATAGCTGGTAGACTTTTGTGATGTTGCAGTGAAATAGAATCAACAGATACATTTTAATATTTACAGTATTTATATTCAAACGAGAATATTCATGTGGAACTTGTAGAAAAAAGTGTTGATGCAGTCATACTAATATCATGACAGAATTCTTTATGTAACTGTAAATAACTCAACTGTTTATGTGTACATAAGGCCACACCGACTTAATTTTATGGATGACATCCACGCCCACATTGATTTTCGCCTGTT